TTCTTGCTCATTTTGCTTCCGAGAAACATGCAAAACGGGACGGAAAACATGAAATTTTGCAATAATCTTGCGCCACCCTTGCACAAAACGATGATCATTTTTCTAATTTCACAGATAACAAAATATTGTATTTTTTCTACATAACCCCCCCCCTGACGACTTTAAAGCTGGATCCGCCCCTGGTCCAGGCTATCGCGATCAGCGGGTAAAACTGATGAGTTTTCGGGCTTTTAGGCCTGGCGTGGAAAATAGTTTCCAGATGAGCAAAGTTATTTTCAACGACGGGTTAAAATCCCTAAAAACTCACCAGATTCTCGTACTGGCCCCGAAAGGCTATCTCTTTTAACCATGTTGTATTAACTTCAACCTAATGCAGAAATTCTTCTCTTTCCCAATATCCCGTGCAAAATCACGCTTTAATAATCACCAAATGCCATAAATCAACCGGTTCTTATCAGCTTTTCCATTTATTTAACAAGTTTAACCTATGCTACTAATGCTGTCGCCACAATTGAAGCTCCAATTCAAGCTTAATAAATTAATGTTATTTCCTACAAAGAAAATGCTCCCTATGGCTTGCTGACACGCACTGCATTAAATTGGATTTAATTAGAGGCAAAGTTGTTTTTTCTTGGCTATTTCTTTTCTAACTCCCTTCCTAATGTTGTTTGTGTTTCAGCCATCGCTTGTTCAATTGTTCTAATTGTGACGGGCTAATACAAAAAGGTCAAACGAAAAAACCTCCCTATTCCGTTAGATCATGAAATGAACAGTCGGTTCTTTGCACAAAGATATATCCCCGAATTTTGCTCAAGAAACTGCGCCAGTAAAATCGTGATTTTCTTGATCTGAATTATCCACGACTTTTAGTCTGATAGGGAGTAACACTTTCAACACAACGATGATATTCAGAAATATGTATTTGCGCAGGATTATTCGCGAAACCCTTCCGGAAACATTTCAAGTTTATGTAATAAAGAAGTGAATTAATTTCGGAAGTCTTTGGCAGGGATAATTGGTAAATAATATCTTTTTTATATAGAAACATTTTAACGCCTCGACGAGGCTGAAAAGGTGGAAGTGGCGATAGAGTGAGCCGCTTCACTATCCATTATCCATAAATTCTGCATATTCACTACTGCGAATAATTCATGTGTATCATATGGTACTGAAAGTTGAGCTTTGTCGAATACGATTTCTTTATGTGCTCTTTTGGTTTATTGCCGTATATTGCTTGTGCATATTAATAGATACTGTTTAAGCTCTTGTTAGTTTTTGTGTGGAAAAAATCGATGAAAGCTACACAGTCGGGCAATCTTTTCGGTTCTTTATTTACACTTCAGGAAATTCCGAAAAAGTAATGCCAGAGTTTATATAAAGAAACTATTTCCAGCGCCCTTATCTAAAGTAGTTTCTTTTGTTGTCCAGTAACACTGTTTAACTAGGTTTTTGTTAAATGCATGCAAGATCGCCGTTTCCGGTTCCTTTATGTACGAAAAGCGAAGTTAAACTGGAATATGTTTCATAATGTGCTTCCGGAATCGAGAACATCCGAACAATGCAATTCGTATACTCGAAAGCTACTTATTGAAGCAAATTTAGGTGCTGGATTAAATTGGTTTTATTTTCAAAAAATAAATTAGCTGATTCACCGCCACCAATAATCAATCAATAAAGTTTTAAACGTTTCTTGCCAGAATTCCAATTTGTGTCAGTGATAGCTGGAAAATAAATTGTCTTTGGGAACAATTTGTTAAAAATTGAAAAGTCAGGTGCGAGTTAACTCGGAAGCGGTTTAAAATTAAAAAGTAGAGTAAGAACATTTGGAGATTTACATACAGTTTTGTCGCCAAGAAGTCCTATACGACATTCAAGATTTATGGTTGATCCAACTCGAGCAGTGACATTAGTCACTTCCGATCCTTCTTCAAAAAAAGGCCCGGCGAATCGAGAGCCTGGCATTGGAAAATGTGGTTTGCTCCTATTTAGATGCCCAAAACTGAAAGGAAAAAACGATCTTATATCACTCAGCTCTGTCAATACATGAATGATTTATCTTTTTATAACCACGGGACAGCAAGATTTTCTCAATGGAAATTGAGTTTAAATGACCAATTTTAGTATGTTAGTAAATATATTTGTCTTTCAATCACCATAGCACCCTTAAATCTGTCAAAAAGTTAATTATTATTTTTTTTCCGCAGTTACAAATGTATTTGCCACTCGCTGATTTAAACTTATGACGTTTCATGATTTTTCACTGTTCCCATCACGACAGTACAGTTAAATTGGCCAATAAGTTAACTTTTCATAATTTTTCCTCCGCTGTAATCTCACAGATTACTACAAGAACAGATGCGAAAGAGCGGCGATTTAGCAATTCGTAGTTCCCTTGTAGAGCATGGACTAGCCGCATAAATGCATTTTTCCATTTCGCCTCTCTCACAAAAGAGAGTTGCTGCACCAATGCCTTTTAAAATGCACACTATAGTCTGTCCCAAGCTTTGTGGCAGTGACGCAGCAATTGTCCTTTTCCTATTACTTGTCAACCGAGTTAAACGGAGTTTTAATTTTATTAACGCATGTTTTTAATCAAATTGTCACAATCTGCCGAAGAAGAACTGTATAGAAACGGTGTTGGATTGAAACCGATTGAAGTACGTAAAACGCCGCGGATTGATGATTGATTTTTTCGAAATCGAAATGTCCACGCTGATGCAAAATTTTAAGTTTTCGTACAGTCTTTTAGCATTTTTGATTTAAAAAATCGAATTTTGCCATTACTCATAAAGAATTTGATGTAAATCGAAATGCGTAATAAAAAAACATGTTTTTACTGAAAACCGCACCGTTTTAGATGAATTTAAATAGTAAAATATCCATTCTATCTTTGATTACGAAAATACCTATTGTTTCATTCGCAAGTCAACAATGGTAACAAATGAAATAAAAAAACGGTATTTTACAGTTCGAATTATAAATGCACTCTAATCAATTGAACATAATACACAGTTTCAAAATATCGTTTTTTGATTGACCTCCCAGAAGAGAACAATATTTGAACTATCAGCACATCAAAGCGCTCTCCAGGAAAAGAGCTTTATCACAAAACAGTGTGGATCACAGGACTGCTTTATTTCACATCAGCTTTCTTGGTTCAAAGTGTGTAGTGCAAAAAGTTGATAAACCGTAGGGAAGAGCTACTTCTGGACTCAAACATTATATAATATAAATAATTAAAAATTGTTCTTCTTACTTATGGTGATATTTAGTAATATTCGTCGCTCCAAGTTCAATTTTGGTGTCATGCCTGACTGGGTTAGGAGTTGGTGGTGGTTGTTGATATTGTTCCTGGGTACTTGTGGCTGTTATTGTTGTCACTTCCATACTTAAAGTTGATCCCATTTCGGGCGGTGCTGTTGGAATGTCTGCTTGAATCGATTCTGAAAAATAACATAATTATTATTAATTAAACCCATAGCGTCAGGCGCGAATAGGTAAACTTGAAAAACTTTTGTTTGTTAATTAAATGTTAAATTAAAAATACATTAACTGATAAAAAAAACTGCAGTCAATTTTGCATTGAGAAAGAGAGATGTTCAATTAGCATGTCATTAATTAGGTGCGATGTTTCAGAAGCACTTGAACTATCTGCTTCAAGTAGAGATGATGTGAAGGTGATTGATGTAGTGTAGTGCCAAAATAATGGGCTTGATTATAGGTAGCCGCACACATATACACACAAAACCACAAACATATGATTTATTGCTCTTCCCACATTTCCGGACAGGACAAGCAAAAAACATATTCACTTATGACCTTCTTTTCACTTAACACGTAGATGCTCGTCTCGGTTTTCTTCAAGCACATGGGGTAAAATGTATCAGTTGTTTCTTTTTTTTTTGATTGACAGAATTGCTGTTAAAATTCAGAAATCTATGATTTACAACGGCAATATCCAGTTACAAATCTCAAATTAATAAATCGCAATTGAAGGTTCAAATATCAATGTCGGTGGACGCAAAATTTCCGAATAGATTCCAGTTGGATGCCAAGCCAAATTGGCAGCTACAGCGATTTTTGGTGGATTATTAAAAATATTCGTAAATCTATTCCATCAAAGCTCGCACAATTGAAAAGTGGAATGGAACTCACTACATGCATCAGCAGCAGATAGGTAAAAATCTATCATTGTTATGTTTTCATCCAAGTTTCAATGTGACCAGCAGGTCGTATACAAAATTTCATATAACCCTTGCGGGATTAATTCAGGCTTTGTACAAGTGCCAAGTTCCGAGAAGTTAAACGGTTCGACCATTTCCAAGAATATTTATAGAACGTTCCATTTAACAGAAAAACAATGTTGGAGGGAATTGGAGAGACTTTAAATTTTCTAATAAACATGGTGGCCGGAACAAATAAATTGCATTTTTCCAGTGACAATTTGTTAAACATCAATTTGGGTTTTGGGGGAAAATCGCATCTGGGACTGCGGTTTTTCAACAATCGTTTTGAAGGGCTGCTCAACTTAAATTATTTATTCAAGAGAACCAAAAAATCAGGAAAACATTGTTTATCCTAAGCATATATATGGTGCTAAGCAAGCAGTTTCAAGAACACGAACATTAATCAAAATTATCAGCATAAACGGATCCTTGCATATTACCCCTTAATTTACCTTTGTGACTAATTAACTTAATTAATCCAGTTGTAGGAATGACTGGCTATACAATTAATTTCTTGTTTATTAAAGCAGTGGTTTCCTACTTGCCCCTGAGGTTACAAATTAATGTCCCTGTAAGTGAAAGTGAGATTTATCTTATTGTTCCAAGACAGCAAATCATTTAATGACCAAAATGTATTTTACAACTGCTGCTGAACGAATAAAGTTTAATTGGGAACAACTTGAGGCTGGAAGCTAATTGATTGAACTCAAGTGTTTCAATTCCAAATTAAAATCAAATCCTGGGTTCTTCAGTCATTTATTGTCTATTTATCAATTAAAAAAACGTTTCGGTGTTTTCCACCATC